CTACACGCAACTAAGTAAGTTATTTTGAAAAAAAAAATTGCCTATTTTTCTTGCACATGTAACTAATCCATAACTAATAAAATTTGGATGCCTTATGGTGACAAAATTTTTGTTTGAAGAAGTTACTTTTACTTTAGACAAAATTTTTAACAAAAAATATCTATTTTTTAGTTTGAAGAAAAAAATATTTTTTTAAAGTTTCTTCATTGCACTACTTATGCATTTACTTTTACTTTTAGATAAATATTGTAACAAAAAAATTTATTTTTCCATTTAAGTTTGTTTACTTAAAAAAAACTTTTTTTTTTAAGTTTGTTCATTGCTCTTCTTGAACATTTACTTTTATTTTAGGCAAACATTGTAACAAAATAATCTTTATTGATTAGCTAAAAAAACTTTTACATTAAAGATTAAAAAATATTTAAATTTTAAAACTTTACACAAATTACAAGAAAATCTTTAATTATCTTAAGAAAAGTTATAACAAAAATATATTTATTTTTATATATTATAATTTAAATTTCAAACTCAATTTCTCTTTTTATACATTAATTCTCATTAAATTTTTCTTAATGCTCGCAATTTTGCATTCCTTCAATACTATTATATCTTTAGGTGTTGATTCCAATACTATTACCATTTATTGAACAAACTATAAATTTTGTAATTGACTTATTGAAGATGACAACCCAAAAAACTTTTTCTTAATTCTTAAAAAAAAAAAAAAGATAATGTTGTTTCATTTCAACATATTCTTTTGCCACAACCACGATATTTTAAATCAGACAAACAACCTTTAAAATATAGAAGAATCAAAGTAAAAGAAAAATAGTTTTTAAAAATTAGGTTGGTCATCAAATTGATCAGAGTATTAGATAAGTGGGTCAAGGATCAAATCAGTAAGTCACTAATTAAATCATATATATGAGTCTCTATTAATTTTTTTATAAAAAAATCATGTCATATATATATATATATATAAGAGATTATAATAACACCGGTGTAATTTTTACTAAGTGTTACACCGCTCAATAACTTTATATTAAATGCGAATTTTGTAAATTCAACTATTAGATTGAAAGTTCATATCTCTTAGATCATATATACAAAATTTTATAATAATCCAATATGATTTGATACTTCATTTTTATAAAACAAAATTGACGTAATATATTTATT